AATATATTAAATAATAAATTATGTGTGATTTCATATAATGTTAAAAGATATAGAAAGTGAAATATCATTATCATATATGATATATTAGCTTTGAGAAACAATTATAAAAAAATATATAAAAGTTTATATTTTCAATATATCTTTTTACATATTCCATAAATGAATTTTATTGAAAATATATGAATAGTTACCTTAAGTTAACTATATAAATTTAAATAGCGTTAAAAATATCTTAATTATCCTTAATAAAAAAATAAGATAATCAAAAGAAAATTTTTATTTATAAATTAGACCTGACATAAGGTAAAACCGTAGGGCCTATGCACCCTTGTGAAGGATCAAAGTTTATATAGTTTGGGGTAAAAATGTGTTTATCTTGATTAATATTTTTTAAGAAAAATATTAATTGTTAATTTTTAATAAAATAATTTTAATGTTGGTTTGTATTTGTATTCATGAAGATAATTTATTTCTTTATTTGTAACAATATTTTGAGAAAATATTTTGATAAGATTCATGAAAGCTTCATACACTCATCTTTCAAAAAAAATTTAATTTATTTTTGAAAAAAATATTTTTATTTATGAATAAAATATTTTTAAATAGGTGCTTGAGATAATTCATCGTCATGTAGGATAAGTTATTTGATTTATAAATCCACTAGAACTCTAAAAGTCTCACGTAGCAAGTGATTCTAAAATTATGTATATATGATAATTTATTACTATGTAGGATAATAAATTAATTAATTAATCTATAAACTTATGAGGACTCTTGAAGTCTTATGTATCAAATGAAAATAAACTTGTGAAGACTCCAAAAGTCTTATGCATAAGATAGTTTTAATGATATCAAGGACCCTTACAATAAAGGATCAATAAATATTGATTTGAGGCCTAGATCTTGAAATTTTTGTCCTTGAAATTTTCCATGAATATTCTCACATGATATATCTCCAAATTCAATTATAATACCAAGATTCTCAACCATCACATGCCTTCACAATAAGGTAATATCATTAGGCTATTAAGTTATTAACCAATAATTATTGATGAGATAATAATTTAAAAGCATGTGAAAGAAAGTGAATAATTATCTCTAGTCACAAGATCACTAGCATGAAGATAAAAGAATCCAAAATAGTTAGTGGGGGCATCCAAAACTATGTCACATGCATGAAATGAATGCCTGCTCTTAGAGTCGAGAATAATAGTTAGGTTTAGAGGATCAAGCCTATAGGTTCTATTTAAACAAAAGTTTGAGCTTTAAAAATGGGTGACTTTTAGGGTAATTGGCCTTCTAGGCTTTGCCTTGATAAACCCTAAAAAAAAAGCTCGAACTTGGGTAGCTTTTTAACCCCTGTTATAATTTTTTTAATTAAAAAAAATCTAAAACTCACTATATGATTAGATTAGGGATTTTTTAATATAAAATTTTCTTAATTTCAAGAGTAGGAATGTTTCTTCCATTAGGAAATTTAAATTAGATTATTATCTGGAAGAAGCTTCCTTTAATGGTCAACAATTTCCAGAATTAGATGAGTTGCTTTGGTAGAAGACTAATCAACAATGATTTTCTAATCTTTTAAGTATGGCATGCAATATTCTAAGTATTTCAATCACTACAGTAAATAATGAATCGGCTTTTAGCATAGGCTCTCGTATTCTAACAAAGTATCATTCTCACCTCTTTTCAGATAATGTGCAAGCATTAATTTCTACCTATGGTTAATGATTTTATGCCATTTTAAGATAATTTTATATTTTGTCTTCTGATATATATATATATATATATTTGATAATGACACGATTTGGTTAATATTTATTGTAGGTGATGAAGAAGAAGTTGTAAAGATAATTAACCTTAAACCTCTACCTCTATTTTTAACAAGTAAACCTACATCTAAAAGATCTAATATTTTATTTTGAGATGATAATGAGAAAAATTTAGATTTAGATTGATGAAGATTTTAATCTTCATCTTAAATTTTTACTTTTAAATATTTGTTTGATGGGTAATTTTGATCTGTTTTATGTTAAATTTTAAAATATTATATTTAAATTATAATATTATTTTTTTGAAAGAGGGCTTATAGGTTCGGCTCCTAGCCATTTAAATAAAGATTGGATCTCAAGATTAGGTTAACAATTAAGGAATCAAACTTTAGAGCCTCAGCTCGCCCAATTTCTCATCTCTACTTGCTCTCATGGTGAAAAGAATGACCATTGTCATGCGGTGACAAAATGTCCAAAAGCTTTAAAGCTTAAACTTTAAAATCCTCTTTTGTGAGGACTTATGAAACCTTCCTTGCATGTACAAGCATGCCTAAAGTTTAAGGGAGGATGAACTTACTTGGATGGATTTCCATCAATTTCTCTCTTTCATTTTCCTGGGCTTTCTCACTAACCAACTCCATACTCTTGTTTGCACCCAAATTGTGAACTTGGAGGCCTAGGTTCAACTCAATTTAATTGATTTTAAAATAATTAAAAAAATATTTACGAAACTTTAGCCACTAAGTCAAAACCATCCGCACTTCATCCATGATGAGTGGCTATGATAGAGAAAGTACTTCTTAAATTCAAAAAAACTGATGATCATAGGATTTGGATATCAAACCAAGATCATTTATAAATAAAGGAGCCCTTTCTCAACAATAGGGATTAGCATCTACAAACTATCAGTCAAATTTTCAGACTCCGCATCTGTTGCTTTATTTTATTTTTCTGTTTATCATATAGTTTTAGTCTTTATTTTTTTATTATATGGTTGGCATAGTCCATTATCTCTTTCTTTAATTAATGTATCTCTGCTTTCTTGCATTTACATTATTTTTTTTACTTCGCATTCTCACATCTGGGCGAACTGTGATAAGAGAGCCTGGACTCTCTGTGTTTGATTAGAAGCTAGGTTCTTCCATTCTTTTAAGACCCTGTGTCTCTGGCATGCCTCGTGACACAATGCCTGATTTTTTTTTTACAAACAGCTTTACCTTTGTTTTTCTTTATATAGACCCATATAACGAGAGTTTTTTTTTAAAATCTCAACTATATCATGATCTATATTAGTATTTTTTATATATTCTTTTATTATTATTATTTAAAAATTAATTGTTATCTTACATATTATTATATCATGATTATTATATTATTTTTAGATATTCAAATATTTATAATTTATTATTATATTAGATTGCAATCTAGTTTGATTATATTTGTGTCATTTTTTATTATTTTCATATCCAAGACCTTTTAACTTTTTATTTATTTATTTATTTTCTTGTTATAAAATATTTTCTTAATTTCATATTATTTTGTAGAGATTGCTTTTATAAAATGTTTTCCTATTTTTCATTTTCTATTTTTTATTAAATTTTTATTATTTTATTATAGCTATTATCTTATTTATTTGTAAAGGTATGAACAAAATACTGTGTTCACAAATAATTTTTATTTTACATTTAAAAAAATTATATAAATTGTAAAAAAATTAATAAATTTCACTAGTATGAATAGTTTAAATTTAATATAAACTGTACATATAAAAATTTAAAAAAATTTAATATTAAATCTATACTGTTCAGAATATATTTCAAAGGTTAATTTATAAAAAAATTGATATCAAATATAGGTCATTTACATTAAATTTGATCTTTTAAGAAGGGTAAACTGATTTATTAATTTTTTTTACAATTTAAATAATTTTATATTTTTAAAATGTAAAATAAAAAATAAAAAATTATTAAATCTTAACTGTTTAGACTAATTTGAATGATCAGACTCCGCATTTCCACGGTGGAAGTACGGAGAAGGGAAGGAACGAAGGAAGCCAACTCCGTCACAGACTCGCTCTCTCTCTCGCTAACTTCTCCTACCGGGGGGAGACCCCCTTCTCCTATAACGTGGGTCCGCCCCTTCATTGAGGATGAGAACAATGGAAGTTGGGAAGCGAATCAGGCTTCTTTGGGGCATATGGAAACTCGGTGTTTTGCTGAATCATTGAAACATGGTGAACTGAGACCTTGTGATTTGAGTGGACTGGTTGGAGATTAGCAAACAACAGGCGTCAGGAGGCGTTGAATCAGGTTACAAATCAAATGCAACTGAGGAATATGGAGGAGGCATTTTTTGAATCTTAAAAACTTCTCGTTAGTTGCAATTTTTAAGTTGAAGACACATGGTATTAGTAAATTTTAAATTTAAATCTCACCCGCATGAGCCTATCCTTCCATTCCACTTCACTCACTGCGTAACGCCCCCTGCCACTGTTAAATCGCTTCTTTTTTTGGATTTAAAAAGAGTAGAGAATTGACAGTTGACACTACTGGGGATGGTGGTTGTAAGTACCGTAAAACAGGCGGAGAGCGAGTGGAAATGCTTAGAGGCATAGTCTTATCTTTGAATGGAAATATATTGAGGATTAGATTTGGAAATCAGGAATTGGGGATTCGTGTCAATATGACTCGGTTAAAAGAAGAGTGAGAACCAATATAACTGAAGTTGCTGGGGTTCAGTCATTCGGCGGAAGGCAGGTAAGCTCAACAAACCCCAATTTTTTCTGTTCCTACAATCAATGATGCACTACTCCTTTATGCGCAAGAAATATCAGATTTGGTCTCCATCGCCCGGGCCTGAAAGTTCGCTTGGGATCCACTACTTCTAGCTAGAGTCCAACACAAGTAAACAAAAAGGAGTCATATATATAATATTACTATATTTAATGTAGACCAATCTGATCTGAGGCACATTAATATGATGCTTATTGGACACGAGAGGTGAGCGAAGGACGGGCGGAAAATGATGCCCTCCATATCCCCATTCTTGTTAGGATGATATTCGTTAGAGGCATATACGCGAAAGGGCAATGAGATCGATTAGGTCCACAATGACATGGATAGCCTATATTTAGCGAGCGACTCCTTCAAACACATATCACCTACCAAACGGTTTTAAGTGAAGCTGGACTTTTTATACGTAACATAATTATGTCTTGAAAACAAAGGTAGCGATTGCCTAGGCAGCTTGTAGTTAGCGTCACGGATCATACGCTGCCTATATATACACACACCCGCAAGAACGAGTAAAGTGTTCCAGAATTGAGGGAATTGAATTGAAGGCTTGATCAGGGTGCAGGGGATTCATATCGGGTATATAATGAGAGACAGAATGGAGAGACTAGTGATTCTTCCTTTCTCTGCGGGGTGCATGTCGGAGGCCAGCGTCGCGGTAGGTGTTCCACAGCCAAGAAAATGGAGGTCCTTCACCAACTTATCCCCGGCTGAAATGAGTATGTATTCTTAAAGCCCCACGCACATGCACATGTGTAATTTCATATCATACATTTGTTTGATTGGATTCGAATACGAAGGATGTAAAGGGGAGGAGTGCGAGAGCGAGGAAGGCAGCAAGAACTCCAAGGCCAACACGTCCACGGGACTAAATAAGCTGGTGAAGGGTTTCAAGAACTTGTCTCAAATTTTTGGTGAGTCGTTCGTGTGCACTTGAACATCCGCATTCAGGCATGGCCTGTGACATACATATATGAAATGGTGCAGGAGAGAAAGAGGATGAGCTGGAGGAGGAGGATGAAAGGGAGATGCAAATCGGGGGTCCAACAGATGTACAGCACGTGACCCACATCGGTTGGGATGGCCATGCTGTGACTACAAATCCCGTGAGCGGATGGGACCTGCTCGCTCTCTCCCTCCACCGCTACCACCCCCGTTCCCTTCCTCAATGATTCCATTCCCTCTATTTTTTCATGCATGTTCCCCTGCTTATTTGCTTTCTTCTTCTATTTCAACATTAATTTTATTCCCACACGCGTGCAAATCCCAATACTTTCATTGTTCAGGGAACCGTAGAAAATAAAATATATAAACAGAGCACAAATTAATTAGAGAGATGCCCTGGGAATTGAATGTACAGCGTACACGCGAATCACTTGAAGTAGTAAGGAAGGTTCAAGACGTAGAGGAGGAAATAGGCCCAAATAACACCGGAAATGCCGCCGAAGAAGAAGCCCCCGGTGAAGTTAGCCCAGCCGTCGGCGGTTTGCAGGGGATCGGGCTGCTTGGAGCGGCCGGTCAAGGTCAAGGAAGGAGCCACGGAAGGCTCTCCTTCCTTGAAGGAGGCGATGCCGTAGATGGTGAGGCAGATGCTGAGGATGACCACGAGGCCGCCCGCCGCCAGGGAGCCCGCCCCTCCCGCATACGGTGTGTTCCTCAGCGGCCCCGCCTTCACGAAGGGGCCCACCAGCAGGAACCCGTGCGCCAGCCCCACCTCCACGCCTCTCAGCAGAGGGCTCACCGCCGTCCTGTACGCCGGCAGGTTCGACAGATACCACGCGATCAGGGGGCTCGACGTCACCGGAGTTTCTAGGCTCCCGATGAAAGGGTCTCCGTTTATGGGTTGAATGACCTGGTAGGTCGTGGCGCCCAGCGGCCCCTGGAATTCATTCATAAAAATAAATAAGAGATAGAGCTGATGAGAAAAGTGGTGCTGGTAAATTGAAGAAGAAGGAAACCTTATCCTCAGATTGGGCGGCCTTCACTCTGAGTTGGAAGGTTCTAAAGGCGAGAGGCCTGAGGGGAGAAGATGCGGAGAGGCCCTTGGGGGGAAGCAGGACTTGAGCTGGCTGGCCATTGCGCAACTGGTCGCCATAACGCTGTGGGAGTGATTTGAGATGGGCGAGAGACAGAGGGAGGCCACGCACAAATAACCAAGATCCCAGTCCGTGCCTCTGATGGTCTCCCTCTCTCCCCATTGGTTATTTGATCTCCTTCCTTATCCTTCTATCCACTTCCCTCGCTCCACTCATTCCTTCCCCATCCTTATGGTCTGGCCCACTACGTTTTTTTTTTTTTTACCCCCTCTCACTTGAAACGGCTGTCCTCCCCCAAGGCCAAGGCCATGGCCGAGGCCGAGAATCTCTCCCCTGGAATATATGCATACTCCCATCCTCTCCTCTCACAACTGAAATCCTTAATGAGATCCAGTGTGCTCACGTCAATTGTGATATGCTGACATGTCTAATGCATTTATTTTGAACTAAAATGCATAAAATCAACTTAATCATATATAAGTTTGTATCACCTCCTTATTTTAAAATTTTTTAAATTAACTTCTTTAATTTTTAAATATTATTTTTCAAAACCCCTATTATTAATTATATTATTTTTAAATAAAGATTAAAATATCATTTAACTAAAAAATATTATTAAACTATATATTATATTATAAAACTATGGTTAATCAATTTTTTTTTATATTTTTTAGAAATTTGAAGTATTGATAACCAAAAAAAATATTATTATCATCATATACAATTTTAAATATTTACTTTTTTTATTAATTTTATTTATTTTTTATCAATGGTGCACAGTTTTTATATTAAATGATAAATTAAACTAACTTGATAGTATTTAAAATTTTTAATATTTTAGTTATATGCATTACATTAATCTAACATGAAAATATAAATAAAAATTTGTCCTTAAAATAATAAAATTCTACACCATTGATAATAAAAAAAATATGGATAAGACTAATATAAACATAAATATTTAAAATTTTATATAGTGATAATAATATATTTTTTCTATTATCAATGCCTCAATTATTCAAAAAATAAGAAATTATAAATAGCTTTACAATATAATATTTTTATTTAATAAATTTTTTTAGTTAAATGACATTTTAAATTTTATGAAAAAAATAATATAATTAACAAAAGGGATTTAAAAAACAAAATTAAAGGTTAATGGGGGGTTAATTTTAAATTTTTAAAGGTGGTGGATTCATATATAATTGTTTCAAAATTCAAAATTTTTTTATATATTTTAGTCAAATTTTTTAAATTATCTAAATAAAATTTAATGTGAGATTATTTGAATTGATTTTATTATTATATGAGATTGTATTTTTAATTTTTTATCTTTTCTCTCTATAATTAATAATGTCAAAATCAACTTATATTTAATACCATCAAAATATTATATTTTTATTAGATAAACTACAAGTAATATAGTACACTCGATCTATCTAACAATTTTTTCATTCTAATTTCCACTCGCAATTCCAATTATTCGTAAGCTTATCCCTAAGTTACTGAATCTTCTCTCTCTATCAATTTCTCAACCATAGTCCATACATTGATCTTGCTGCGTCTCTCTCTTTTTTTTTTTAATGAAAACTGAACCTTGATCATGAAAGATTGCTAACTAAGTTTATCAAATAATTTTTTTTTTTTTTATCATTCACCACCTCCAGACAATAAGATGAGTTGATCAAAGGTAGTACAACACACAAAATCATTATGTGCTTCTGTAGCCAACATATGAGTACAAGAGTTGGCTTCCCTAAACAGAAAATTCAAACAAATATTCCAATCCTAATAGAAAAACATTCCAGCCTAACTAATAATATTTCGAAAAGGATGAAAATTAATATCACTTCTGGTAACAACGTTGATTGCCTCTACACAATCCGTATAGATTGAAACATTTTGAAACCACCTCTCCTCGGAAACTTGGAGATGGAAAATAATACCAATCACTTCAGTAATAGTTGGAGGACAATTATCAATATTTGTATTAAAACTACATACCCAATCAGCACTATAGTCCCTCGCTACATCTCCACACTTACCAATGCCTTCTTTGTAGGAGCCATATACATAAAGCCTCACCGCGTTGTATTTTGGTTTCACCCTTACATCGTAGAGTCAATCGTTTTGCTTTCACACCTGTGAGGACTGCTTCAGAAGTTGCAGATCCGCCATGGCTTTCTATAATATAGTGAGTCCCGGGCTTGCAACGTCTGCCTCTTCATTTGAAAAAATGTGCTTGCATCTTGAACCCCAGATTTTTCAACAAACATAACCAAAAAGTACATTCTAAGGAACCGGTCTGATAACATTACTCCCCGTCTCTTTCAAGAATCCCAGCTTTGCAGGGGCCGACTCAATGATTTCATATTCAAGAATCTTGCGAGCGCAAATGCAGAAAAATTCTGTTTTGTGGGATTAAATTAAACATTAATCTTTTAAAAATATTTATCACAAGATTTATATTTGAGAAAATGGACTTTTTTAACAATAATAAATTATCAATAGTCAAAAAATGAAATGCATGTACTTATTTAAGCTTCATATCATTTGAAATAAAAATGAAATAAATCCATAGTTTAAAATGTTCTTTCGGTTCTTTTAATTCTAACACTATTAGTTTCATTAACAAAAAATTTTTATATTAAAATTTTAAATATTGAGAAAATATTTTTAAATACCGGTATATTAAGTTTAATTTTTTAAAATAAAAATAATTGACAAAAATAATTTAATATCAACAGTATTAGTGTTAAAGAATTAAAAATATATTTTATAAAATTAAAATATTAAATTAAAATTTTATACAAAATTATAAGAATAAAAGTAATCTTTAACCTTTTAAAAAATAGTACAGGTAAAAATAAGTTAGACAGCCAACCAAAGATTAATAACCTGGTTTGATTTGATTTTGTTTTTCAACTCATATAAAAATAAATTGAGTTCAATTCAATTGCCAACCCATACAATTTGAGTTGGTCCATATTTTCATACAACGAATGACACTTTGCTGATTTTTTACTTGCACTCCTCACTGCTGGATGCATCCAAGAACCACCATTTATATTCTAGGGGAAATGACAATTAGGAGCCTATAAAAACATTAATGATAACTATAGACTTTAAATTATTAAAATCTCAATAAAAAATCACAGTTCTTACTTGTAATTATATTAATGTAAATATTTAGTTGGAAAATCTACTAACCACACTTGAAACTACTTGTAATATCATCTAGGAATTTATGAAAGTTAGTTGAGAATCTTAATTTTTTGCTATCAATATGTAGATAAACCACTAAAAAGATGAAGAAAATATACTTAGAATTATTTGTAATGTTAGTTACTTATGATTTTTTGTTTTCAATATATAGATAAATTACTTAGGAAATTTACTAAATAAACTTGAGATTATTTATAACGTTAGTTAATAATTTAGTAAAGTCAGTTATAAATTACAAGTTAATTACTTATGATTTTTTGTTATCACTTAAAAAATTGATAAAAAATAGTTAAAAATCTTTATAATATTAGTTAGAAATTTACTAAAAGTATGTTGACATCCTTAAGCCAATAAATTAAAGATAATTTATTGTAAATAAGAATTATAGTCCATTATTTATATTCCAATAATTTAAAATCTGTAATATTCATTAACGTTATTACAGGTCCCTAATTATCATTTTTTCCTTTATTCTAAGCATAATTTTTTAATGTTCCATCAAGTTTCAAAATATCATGTAAGGCTATCCTTATTAAAAAAAAAAAAAAAGAAGACGACAATGCTCCCCTCAAAATTTTTAATATAGTACAATGTCGTTCAGTATTAATAGATTCCACATGATAATCATTAATTTGACTGGATAATACTTCATTGGTCATCTATGTGGCAAGGCACAATGGGAATCATCATTTCAAGTCTTGTCCTGTTTAGTTATGTTTAAAATAATAATTATAAAAAATAGTGTGATGCGACTGATTTTCACCTCAGGCGAATCATTCCAAGGGAAAAGGAAAAAAATAAAATAAAATAAAATATAGCCGTTGAAAGGACGGACTCACGGAATTATATGATAAATACAAGTATCCAACAGAAATGAATGCCCGCCCTTGCATATTACCAAAAAAGACAAATAAAGAAAAAAAAGGTATGTATTGTTAAATTCTTTAATTAAAATATAATATGTAGATAAATTCTTTCCAGAGGAAAAAAATAAAGAATATCTACATATTATATTCTTAATAAAGAATCTAACAACAAATATTGAATAAATTGCATCTAAGTATTATACTTAAAGAGTTAGTTTATTACACTGTTTGGCATGACAATTAACAACAAAAGGAGTGCCAGTATTCTTCCAAACGTTACAGTGGAAGCCGATGATATATCGTGGGCACCCACGGCATATACTTTTCCAGACGTTTCATCCTTCACCTTAACGACGGAAGAGCCTAAAGAAACAATGATACAGAGTCAAATTGTTCAGTCCATCAGATTAGGAGTGAAATATAATGAATGAAACGTGATTGGCAGCTCTTCTGAATGGCCAGATTCTATGCAAATAAATATCCACTCTCATCAAGAGTACTCAACGACACGAGCTTGACAAAATGCGATTAGTATAAATGTTATTTAACAATCGTACAACTGAAATTATAAAAGTCTACTTGACACTCACAGTTGAATTCAGTCCATCCAATGGTCATATTTTCAAGATCATATGCGACTAGCCTGTTTGATAGCACCAAATCTGCAGTTGGAAACAGTCCAAAAGTTCCAGCCATAGCATGATTTAAATTTAAAACTAGCATCACCGGAGGCATGCATATATAAATTTCAACACGCACTCCCACACACATAGAGGGAACAATACAGGGCTCATTGTTCAGCCCTTAATTGCTTAATCAACCAAGACTAAATGGACAAACCACAGCAAGTATTCTAAGTTGTACCTCCAAGAAGAGTCATATCCTTTCCATTCTTAGTTTTCGCGGTACTTTTCTGCCAGCCAACACACCACTCGCTGTCCTGGGGGACAACAGTTAAGGATAAGGTCATATCAAGAAATAGA